TATATATATATGTGTGTGTGTGTGTTTGTTGATGAGTTGCTATGTGACCGAAGAATTTATTTTTGTTAATATATTAAAACGCGTGTAACCTCCTTGTGGTGAAATAAAAAAAAAAATACAGATTTGGATTTTTTATTTTTTTTTTTTTATTTTATTAAAATAAAAGTAAATATGAAACAATCAGGCGTTTATATGATACCAATTTTGTTCGCAACATCCAATGCATCATAATCCCGTGCTAATCGTACATACGCCTTCTTTTTACCGTCGGGCCTGAAAATAAGAAAAATAAACTGATAGTAAATACGAATTGACGACTAGGGACAGTGATTTCTCAATAGAATCTTAAGCTCAATGATATTATTCTCAAGCTATACTTTAATAGTAACTATCAGAACAAATGTTCAATCATTTATTACAAGTAATATCTGATATTCTCAAAGTCATCATTTAATTAAAACGTTAATTTTCATAAACTAAGCACCTGTGCATCAATTTAAATTATTCAATTCAAAATGTTTTATCAGACAAATATTTGTCAATCATATGATTTTAAATATCTGAGAGATTCTCAATAAGTCATCATATAACAACTTACACTAAACTTTTTGATAAACAAAATACCTTGAACATTTAACACAGTTAATTCATTAATACAACTTATAAAAATTAGTAATTACCAATAACATACATTAGATCAAAAATTATCAGCACAATTTTTTCAAACATTTATTTCAAGAAATATCTGATATTCTCAAAGTCATCATTTTATTTAGTTACTAATGATCTTATTTCAATTTTTATAAAACACCTTATTAATATTTTTGCGTCAGACAGAAATATGTCAATCACATTATTTTGAATATCTGAGAGATTCTCAATAAGTCATCATGTATATTATGGTGGTTAAATAATTATAAGTCAACATAAAAATGTATAGAGAATTATGAATAACTTAAAATATTTCTTAAGTAAAAAAGTATATTTAGAAATTATCAGTTAATAATTGTATCAATCATGAGATAATTTTAATTTTCTGAGAGATTCTCATTAAATCATCACACAACCTCTAAATATATAATAAATAAATAATACAGAAAGTAACTTAAAAATTATTATCTTGTATATTTTATAAATTACCTGATCAAAGTGTTGACTTTGGCCACATTGATATCGTACATCTTCTTAACTGCAGCTTTTACGTGATGTTTATTTGCACGTAAATGTACAATAAAGACTAAGGTGTTGTTGTCTTCAATTTTTTTCATAGCAGATTCAGTTGTCAATGGGAATTTGATTATATTGAAAGCATCCATCCTAAATGAATCATATGTATTAGATTAAGCTCGCTAAATATATTTTGAGTTTAAACTATAAAATATAAATAGTAAACAAATTTATTAATTTACCTATTTCTCTTGGGAACGGATTTCCTTGGGTATTTTGGGTTCCTTGGTGGTTGGAAAGTCTTGGGACGACGGAAATGGACAGAATACCTGATCTTGCGAATTCTAGTACCATGGGGTCCTTTCAAAGTCTAAAAACCAATTAAATTTTATTGATGAACATACTAAGATGAGAAAATGTCATCGCACTATTTATATACTCAATTTGACTATGCAAAACATGACAAATTTATGATTGGATAACCAATCTTCTAATGTTTGCTTTAATATTAAAGTTAATTGGCCTATCTGTTTTATTCATTTTAATGTTAACAATATTACAATTTAAATGTAATATAATTATAGGCATTTAAACTTTAATATAATATAAGCGCATAGCTTAATTAAAAACTAAACCATTTGTAAAAAAAATTAAACATAATTTACTAGACTTTAACGTTTATAAATGATTAATTTACTCTAAGTTTTGAGTTTACTCAAGATTTGTTTTTCTGAACAATTTGCTTTGCTGAGCATAGATCAAAGAGAAAACAAATAATACGCCAATATCTTTAAACAGTTTCTCATTTTACAATATTAGTTATGATATCAAATAATAATTTACCCTAATTTTAGACTTCAGCGCTTTCTTTACAGCATCACGCTTCGATCCAACTTTAACTCCTTTAACGCCTTTGGCACTATCAGCTTTCCTTTCTTTCCTGAGTTTAGCGGCAGCAGCAGCAGCAGCTCCCTTAATTAATTTTTTAGCTGCAGCTGATTTACCTTTAAGTGGTTTCTTGGTTTTATCAGCAGCTTTAGTTTCTTTCTTATCTCCAGTTTTAGATTTGGTTGCTGACTTGGACTTGTCCTTTTTGGCTACAGTTTTTTTAGGTGCTTTGGGAGCAGCTGGATCAACTGCTGCTTTCTTAGCAGCTGGGGCAGATTTTGGTGCATCAGTGGCTTTCTTTTTGGTAGCTTCCTTTTTGGCCTTCTCTGGCTCCTTCTTTGATTTGCTATCAGTAGCTTTGCTAGCAGTAGATTTCTTAGGAGCAGGTCCGGGCTTTTCAGTTTCAGTAGATGGACGTTTGGTACCTTTGTCTGCACTCTTACCCTGTTTAGATTGATCAGCTTTCTTGGAAGATTCTGCCTTAGATTTAGATTCATCCTTCTTCTTGTCTGCTGGTTTTTTTTCAGCAGCTGCTGGTGCAGATTTTTTGTCTGCGGGTTTCTTATCAGCCGGAGCTTTCTTTTCAGGAGCCGGTTTCTTTTCAGGAGCTGGTTTCTTTTCAGGGGCAGATTTCTTTTCGGGGGCTGGTTTTTTATCAGCTGCAGGCTTCTTGTCTGCAGATTTCTTTTCAGCGGGCTTTTTGGTATCAAGCAAAGGAGCGGGTGCAGGTTGCTTCTTTTCTGGTTTCTTTTCAGACGAAGCAGCTGCAGGCTTCTTTTCACTACCTGATGGCTTCTTATCTCCACCACCACTGCCTGATGCAGCAGGTTTAGCTGAAATGAATAACAAAATTATAGAAAATCAGATGAATAGTGAGTATTATAAAAAATATTGTTAATACATTTATATGAAATTAGATAACATAAAATAATAAAATATGAAATGAAAAATCTTAAAGCATATTAGACATTAAAAATAAATTTAACTAATATCTTCTGAAGTATTTACTCATTACATGATTAAAAATTAATTATGTAGTTTAGTCAGATTGTACTTATTTAATATTTAACATTACTTTACTATTAAAATGATTTACCCAAATATACATAATAAACATAAGCAAATATTAACAATATAATTGACTAGGTTTAGATTAAAAACACAATAATAATATATTTCTAACAAACTAAAAATATAAATATACATATAAGTAAGTACTTATAATTAAAATACTTTTTAATTTTTAAAAATTAAGCTGAAAATTATAAAAATAAAATTAACAGAGGTTTGACTTTTACATTAATTGCAATAGCTCCTTGGTAAGTACTCAAAAGGACGTAAAAGTATGTTTTTATTTTTAATTTGATTAAAACCGTTGCATGATAGTGATAATTTTTTTACTACAAAATACCTAAGTGTTTAATTTTCTACAACTTTTTTCTTTATCTTTATTAGAAAATAGATAATTTTTTTTTAAAAAGAAACAAAGTTTCAAAAACAATTTGATCTGAACAATATGAAGTTGATAAAATTTGATGATAAATCGAAAATGTAACTTCTTAAGAGATCAATATAGAATTGACTTAATTGATACATTCAAATTTCTTATTAAAAAATCTCATGTCATAATAGTTCAACAAGTATCTTATCTTCTATTTAGTGTATTATTTTTTAGACTCAAGCATGGCATATATAAAAAAATTACATGTAATGATTAAGAAAACTGAACATTAATAAGTAGATTGGTATATAAATATATTTCTGATATATTTTTATATTTATTGTTTTAATGTCAATGTTATTATTACAAATAAGTGTAACAATATTAAAATATTATTATTTTATTAATATAATATAGGTATAACCATCAGTGGGTAACAGGAAATAATTACACCATTCTAATTTACAACAAAAATTGAAGTTCACAATAAATTATAAAAATCAAACAAAAATAATTTAATACCTTAAAGTGTGAGTAGCACATGAGACAATAGAAGAAAATTGAAAATTTGTATAGGGAATTAAAATTATGTTATTCGTTCGACACCGATCGCTGCTACAAATGCATCGATCAACTTTAAATTATGACGAATAGTAATCGAATACAGTATATCAATGAGATTTAAAACCTTTGTAAGCATGCGATTAACATTCTGAACAAACGTATTAAATAGTATTCAATGCAATCAACCGAGAATGGAATTTAGCGAAAGGCCATGTGCTTATAGTGACGGCACAAAATAGGTCGTAAAATGTTCATACAAATTATTTATTGCAGCCTTAGTACAGTAGTAATAATATAAATATGTTTATAATTAGCTTTCTTTTCACCTTTAGGTGGCATTTTACCGGATTATAAAATATAAAAAGATGTTAATGTAACTAAAAGAAGTAACGCGAACACAACTTTACAGTGAAAGAATCAAGGAAAGAAAAATAGTAGATTTGTTTATAACCTCAATCGACAATGATCAGTGACGCGCAGATACTTCAAGGATAAAACAAACTAAATTTTTATAACATAAAAATAAAAATAATTTTACGAAAATAAAATATGATTGATAGATTTAATTAAATTGATTGTGTTTTTTAATTACATTTTCCACATTAAATAATAATTTTAATAATAATTTTAAATTATAATTATTTTTATAAGTGCTTTGATGAATTTCTTATCGTTTACCTTGTTATCAATATGTTTATCAAATTTTTAAATGATAAGGCATTATATTATTTTAATTATTTTAAAACTAAATTGGTTTTGAATTATTTTGAGAAAGTTGTTTTCAATCTCATTATTTTCATGCTTAATTGAGCGCTAATGAGCAGTTACAATTTCAATTAGTTGAATATCGTTGAATCATCGATGAAGATGTCTTAACTTCCATATTTTATTTTAGTTTTTCAGTGTTTGGTTATTGGTATTTTAGTGAAATCTGAACAAAATGTTTTCGTTAAGAACAAGTTTTTGCGTTCTACATTTAGTGTTCTTGTGGGTATCAACTTTAGCGAATGAAAAAGCAGCTTCATTTCAATTACAAGAACATAGTGAGTGATTTTATAAGTCTAGTTTAATCTTTGAATATCACATTTAACACTATAATGTACTTTTGTACATTATTTTAAAGTTAAATTTAGTCATAATACTATGATATTTATCTACTAATTTATTGTTAAATAACATAGGTACATATTAATAAAGGTGTATATAATATAAGAATTATTATTTATGTTATATTATACTGTTATTTGATAATTAAATTAGTGTATAATGTTTAACTATTTAGGTACCTAAATAAAAATTATATGAAAAATATTTTCAATAAAAACATAAATTACCTAATTAATTTAATTGTTTTGAATGAAGAATAGTGATGTATTATTATTGGTTATACATAAGCAATGAATTATGTAAAGTAAGACTAAAATAAAATTAGGTTTAACAACTTTTATAAATATCCCAGAATTTTAATCTAATATTTTATGATTTGTTTTTTACGTCAAATATTAAATACTGATGAAAAACATTTTATTTTCAGACGTACCAATGTCAATTGATGTCATTAATTTAAAATCTACTGAAAACTCCGATAAACACAAAAAGTTAGTTGTAATTGATTAATTAAACTATTTGTTTAAATATAGGTATATCAAAAACAATGACATAACTGGAAAGTGAAAGCCTAAAAAACTGTTGAATTGTTTCTTTAATTCACAAAAATGAATATATTTTTTAATCAAATGTTTTTGTTGATTTAATTTTTTTACCAGTATATTTAAAATGTAATCATTTTTATAAAATAGAAAAATTAGCTATTTTTTTTTATTAAATTCTTTTTACAAGAGTTAAAGATTTATTTTTATTTTATAAAAACACTTTTTAGTTGAATAAATTTAAATTTATTTTAAAGTGTAAAAACTTAGCATTTAAACTCTGTAGAATATTAAAATCTATTTTCTTGTAATCAAAAATTAGGAATATATTGTTAATAATTTTTAATTTACTGTGTATTTTGATAAATATAATTTTTAAATTACAGATGGAATGGTAGATATCTACCTGACCATTCAAATGGAGAAAACTATGGTAGTATATCAAGAATTGTTACAGAAAATGAAGATTTTGCTGTATATAGTGCTCCAAAACAAAAGAAAAGCATGGTAACAATGGGATCTATGGATATCAATTCTACATGTGACGATGGAAAGGTTTTACTATAATTCATTTTTAATACTTTCATTTGATTTTAATAACATAAGTTATGTTACTAAGAATTTTATTTTATGGTACTTGTAATTATAAAATTATAAATTAATTAAAATTTGAAGGAACAAATAAGTTTAATTATCGACAAAAAATTTCAATATTTAGTAATGAAGGATATTATTTTTATTTATTTAGGTATCCTAAAGTTAATAATTAATAACTATTACTTCACCTAAATAGTGCGTTCTGCAGTTTGTGCAAATTTTGTGAATTATTTATTTATCATTTTAGACAAATTTGACAAGAGATTGGGATGGATCATTATACAACTATACATGCATGTTGAATGAATTTTTACCAGTATCTGATGTTCAACCATTATTGGATAGAGATCTCGTGCCTAAATATTATGTGGTAAATATTATTAAAATTAAACTGTATATCAATATTATTTTTCTATTACATTACAGTACTAAAAACAAATTTTTCAAAGTTATAAATTAAACCCTAAGATTGCCTAATGGTAGTTTTAGGAACTTTTGATCATAGCTAATTAATAATAACTTTAATATAGTTATGTATATATAAATATATTATACATAGAGATTTAATAGATGCCTTTTAGATGCCATATTTACTTCATGCATTTGCATTTTCCTAGTGGCATTAGAAAATATAATATGCAGATTGTAGATTTAATATTATGTTAAAATTATATTTTACTAAATACCTATTTGTCCGAGATTAAGAATCATTTAACTTTAATGTTTAAACCCAAGTATAAATGTATTAGAAATATACTAAAAATTCAAGTTATTTACACACTCAGTTTTAATGAAAAAATAAGATGTTTTAAGTTTTCTAAATTGAGGGGTTAAAAATTTAAATCATACAAGTATTTTCTTGTACATTTTGAAACTTATAATAAATCTTAAGATTAAAAAAAAATTATTAATTTCGTTAAAATGAGAATGTTATTAAGTTATATAGTAATTAAATGATTTTTTTTTTTTATTTGCTTCCGATTTATTTATTAAAAACTACTGTAATTTTGAGAAAAAATATAAAAAAGAGCAAAAAAGTTTCTGCATCAGCCGGGAATCGAACCCGGGCCGCCCGCGTGGCAGGCGAGCATTCTACCACTGAACCACTGATGCTTGTTGAGGTTATATGCAAAATATTATGTATTTATTATAAACCATATAATAATTTAGTTTTATATTAATTTCTAATTGCCTTATTCCTTTATTCAATATTTATTACTTGAAATTTAATCTAACTTTTTTTTTTGTAGGCTAATCATGTATGTATGAAAGAATCAATATCTTACAACCATGATATTCCCTCATTGTAAGTACTCATTTGTAGATTTATATTTTTAACTATTTCTATATGTAATTATAACTTACTATATATATACTATATAAATCATATTTTCTAGGTATTTTTCATGATACATCATGTTATTATTTATATTTTGAAAAATAAATTTTCTTGGATAAAAATAAATATATAACTCTATACAATTTTATAAAATTGGGCATTACTTGAATTTTCAAGTTCATTGTTTTAATATATATTTTTCTGTCCTAAATTAATACAATATACATTTTTTAAATTTTTACCAATAATTGACTCTAGTAGGTTGATTAAGATCTAATGCTGACCATAATGTTATTGACATATTAAACTTTAAATTTTTAATATAATATTATGATATAAACTATGTAATGTATGATTTTAATTTTTGATAGTGGTTCACATCGTCCTGCTTGGGCCAAGTATGGTGAATATAAATTTTTACCAAAACAAAGATGGTTACACAATTTAGAGGTATGAATCATACTAGAGACTACTAGTTGTCTAGCTACTTTTAGTTATTCTAAATATTACTTAATATAACATTTATTATTTTTACATATTTTTTTTCAGCACGGATCAGTAGTAATGTTGTATCATCCATGCACTCACCCAGTTTTAGTTCAACGTATGCGAACAGTTTTAAAGTCTTGTCTTTTCAGACATATTATCACTCCATATAATTTAGTACCTGAAGATCGAGTACGTATAATAAATACCAAGTATTCAGAAATAGACTAGATAAGGGTGCTAGGGAGATATATACCCCTGTGCTGATGAAAATAATAATATTATGGGTTGTACTATTATTTGACAAACAATTTTCCAAGTTACAGCTTATTAAGATTTTGTCATTTTAATGTAAACAAAAATTAAAATTTGTATGTAGGTCATCAATAATAAAGGGTATTTTGAACATCCATAAAATATAAAAATAATTAGATTTAAACAAAATGAGATCGAAATAAATTTATTTTAAATTGTTATTTTATTTTATGTAATCATAACTTTACCATACATACAACAAAATTTTCAAAACTAATTAAATGCAAATTAAATTGTGCTAAAGGTAAAGGGGTAAATATTTACTTTTAGTATATTACATAATTAATTATTTAAAGTTAATCAATTATTTTTAAAAAATATATAGAATTACAGCCACTTTTTTTCAAATTATATCTTAGAAGATTTTGGTTTGGATCCCTATATTTATTTTAACTTCTGAGGTGATTTGTATTTATGTTTTATTTCTTTTTTATTTCTAGCCAATTGTGCTTGTCACTTGGGGTAACAGACTTTACATGAATGATGTGGATACAAAACTTGCAATAGATTATATAAAAAAATATGCAAATCATGCTAAGGAAACCACAGCCAGGGATGGACAATATGATCATTTATTGATTGAAGCAGCAGAATTAATCTCACCTGATGATATAAATATTTGCCCGGCCCCACACAAACGCAAAAATAGAATTTAATATATGTTACACTAACTTTAGTATATAATGTCTTAAGGTAATAAGATATACTTATTTAAATTTGTTGAATTATTATTTCGAAGTGCACAGGTATATTATTTAATGTGTATTGTATTTTAATTATTTAAAAATAAATTTTATATTAAATGTTAATTTGTATTTAAACTAGTTAATCTCAAGACCAAGGTCTAAATAATTTTAACATAACAATTTAGTTATTAATTTTTTAATTTTATAATTAATTTAGTTATTTTAAATTATATACATTTTTTATTGACTTACATTTTATTCTATTCCTGTAAAATTCAAAAGTTAAACTAACATTAAATTTTCTGTTCTTTTAATATTTAATGATCTGTGTAAGAATCTTTAGAAGAATATTTCCAGTTTCAACAAGTTACTTGAAATTTTGAGAAAAAATAAAGTTTTCTATATTTTAATAATATGCTAAATATTATTCTTATATAAGTTATTATTTTGTATATTTTGTTTTAAATGAAATAAATATTTGAAATAGAATCATTTTTTTTCTAAATTAGATTCAAATAAAATAATAAATTAACAAAGTTAACAAAATGAACAGGGTTGACAAGACCTTAGACCTATAAGATTTTTTCCTTATGATTGAAAATCTTATAATGTGTAAAAAAAAAATCATAATTATCAGATATTTATTAATTGCTCAAAAAGAGCTAAACATATATTAACAAAATACCTTTGTATTACTCTAGATAAAAGGTTAACATGGTCGAGTCATTTAAAACTAAAGCAAAAACAACTTATCTAACTCCTCCATTTAGTTTTACCTATATTAAAATCTAACGTATTAGTTACTTTTATAAAAACTAACCAACTTATGATTATAGAGTATTGAAATTTGATAAGCCCATTAACTGAGTTTAACATTCACCCTAATTTAGCCTTCTAGTCAATCAATCGCCTTAAGAGATGATCCATCGTACATAGCAAATAGGAGCCCTTCATAAGGATTTAAATTACAAACAATAAAATACAATTGCTAAAAACTAGCACAAAAAATTTCATTAAAAATTAATCAACCACACTAACCTTTTTATTAAAAACATATCCTCTTTATCATTACCATAAAATATTCTCTGTTAATTAAAAAAAAACTGGGCTAAAAAGTTCTTTTAAAATAAAATTTACAAGAGAAAAAAAAAATTTTAAGTTTTGTTACTGAATGTTCTCTTTTCTGAATGACTATATGTTTAATGTTATTGTTCTTAATTGTCTGCAGTCTATGTTACAAGCGTGTATTGAAAAATACTTTTAGAAACATATAAAATTATCTAGAAATAATTCATTTTTGAATTACAATTTACTAAAAAAATCAAAAAAAATCGATTTTGTCTAAAATTGATTTTCAGTAGAAATTTCTATTTTCCCTCAATTTTTTTTTTCGTTTTTCCTAGTATTTAAAGTGTTGAGAATTTTTTACTTTTATCTTCAAAATACAAACTTTAATCACAATCTTAGTTTTTAACCAGAAAATATATCGAAGTTGTAGATTATACTATTTTTAGTATTTTTACTGTTCAAAAGACGATGAATAATGACAAACACAACAATTTAAAAAAAAAAACACAATTTTATGTAAAAATGTATATATATTATATATTCATCAATTCGTTAAAAATCTAAAATATTCTATACAATAATAATTATGTATTAATGTTGTTTTTATCGTTTATTTTACTCGTCATCCGGATATAAAATAGTATAAATATTTTAAAAACAGAAATTAATCGAAAACTTTGTCTAGTAACGACACATTGCGTTAGATGGTAACTACCTATCGGTATAGAGATACAATATTTTAGTATTTTCACACGATTATTATTAAGTCTATTAAGATAGTATTTTTATTTTTATTTTTAATGTTGACAAAACTATAGGTTGGCCCTTTATATACATGAGCTCTGTCCCCCTCCTTTTTGTTTGAAATTAACCAACATTATTAAACATAGAACAATTTTAAAAAATCTACTCTTATAAATTATTAGAACTAAATTAATGAATATATATAATATGATGACATTTAAAGTATAAATTTACAATGATTGTAATAATATTTTATTCAGATAATTAATAAAACCAATGATTAAAATACTTAATTTAGACAATTTATGCTTTATTGTTTATGTACGATTCATGGATAACTATAAAATTAAAAGCGTAATAATAATGTTCGTAATAATCTAACGGTGTAGCGCGTAGTGGGAGCTACATAAAGTTGTTAGGTACCTACTGTTCAAAACTCGTGTATCGTCATTTCAGTTACGATTTTGTTAGCGCCGAATGTACAGTGTCACAATAATAATACATTTAGTACCTCTTTACTATCTAGTGTAATCTTTATTGTTCGACATGTTTGTGTTGTAAAAGTGAATAGTATTTATTTATTCATTTCAATTATGATTAAAGATAGACTGAAAGAGTTACAAGCTGTAAGTAGTATATTTTTTTTCATGTTTTTTATAGGTACCTAATATGAACATTTTTAAGCAATATGAAACAATAATACTATAATATTTTAATATACTGTATATTCGCCTCTCTAATAAATAATGTATTTATATTTAATATTTTATAAATTAATTTATTATATTTTTCATTGTATAAAATATAAGTAGATAATATTTAACTTACCTATTTGAGTAAGTTTAATCAGGGTAGTTTTTTTTAGAAACCTACAATATAGATAATTTAAATATTTAGTTACATACTTACATACCTACCTACATATTCGCAATACCTATAACAGATTATGATTATAGATTTAATTAACTTATTTTTTGATATCTTATCAATGTATAATATACCGATTAACAATACTAATTATTATACAACATAATATTAAATTATTATTATAAAAAAATAGTTGTTAGATTTAAAGATTTAATTATAGTATGTCAGTAATGATAAATAATCGTTAAAAATAATGGCAAGCATCTACTTAAGTAATAAAACTAACTTTTAACTCAACATTTAATTACGAAATACTTCAATTACTTATTTAATAATTTTAATAGCAGTTTACTTCAATTGCCGAATCTTCAATATAATATTTTATTATTATTATACTTAGATTTAATACTTGCCATATATTTAATATATAATCATTGGCAATTAATTGCTCATTGTATAACTAAATTAATATCAGCATTAAGTAACAAAGTATAACCTTGGATTTCAAATATTTGATTGAGACATATGTAATAATTGTGACTTAATTGCACTTGTCTTATCTACAAAAAAAAAACTGACTGTCAAAACACAATTAAAAATGCTTCGTTTAGTTATTAGATGAAACAAAGAGGTTTTGAATTAAAATTACATAAATTGTATTAAAACCGAAAAAATATATAACGGTTATAAAAAGTGCACCTGACATCGGAAATAGATCATCTTTAGGATAGTATTTTTATTCTCATTGATTTTTGGTTGATTAACTATGTAAATATTCGTTTTGACAGGCCAAACAAAGTACAATCTTCAACATTCTAATTATTTGTTTTGTGCATACAGAGCATGGCTAAATAGATTTATTATCTACCCGTGATACGGAGTTCAAGTAGTGGCCGTTCATATACCTAAGTTGATTGTGTCGTAGGTAGGTACCTAAAATACTACCTATATAGTATAATGAATAGACAATCCTCGTTGCAGTATATGGTTTGTTTGGAAAAAACTCGACACGATTAAATAAGACGTGGGACATATTATTATATGTTATGCTCATTATAATATTATTTTGGTGTATCTACACAATATCTACACATCAACGATAGAATGATTGTATCTACCTATGTAAATTTACTTTAAATAAGAATTTAAATTTTCCATAGATTATGTATTTATTTTAAATTATTATTTATACTATAATATATACTATATGTATAGGTAGGTATATAAATATATTTTTTTACCACAAACATACATACACAATTGGTTTATTGTTATGCCAACTGCAGTTCTGATCTATCTGTTGAAAATGGCACCAATTAATTTTTCCTAACACAATGACTTCAAGGCCTGCATTAGGTAAGTGCCACTATAGTTAACATTCGGTAGTGCGGAACCATAAGGAACATTATTTTTATTGTATTCATAACATGATAATAATTTATAGCGAATAAAAGGCCGTATTAGTCAAACACAAAATACTGGAAAGAAAAAAACGATTAGCCGTATAATATATTTATTATATAGTTATATTATACTTATACCTATCAGTTATATCAAATATAATAATATGTTTTTTAGATCAGTAAACAATATTTTATTTAGAAGGACGGGACGGTATGTCGTCAAAATTCAACATTTACCATAATATTCTACTACCTATAAACATATTAAATATATTATATAGGTAATAACATTGATGCAGTCTTAGATACACCAAAACAACGTAAAATTGTTTTAATATTCTTATTACTTATTAGTATATAGTATACATGTATGCGCTGCAATTATTGGTTAGCTAACATCGATATAAAAACTAGGGAAATATAATATATATATATATATATATATATATATATATATGTATTCTATACATATCTATACCATAGTAGGTTCCATGCGTATAGAATTAATATAATAAATGTTCTCGTAAATTATATTACTCGCCGAGGACGATTTTTTTGTTTATTCGGGAAGACGTAAAAATTAAAATTGTTGTTTCGTACATATAATATTAAGTAATAAACTATAAATTTTAATTTCTGCTCTTTTTTATTTTGTGTATCAGATTACTATTTATCTATAATTAGGTAGGTATGCATTGTAGCCTTATCATATGCTCCATTACTACGTATAAGACAATAGTCAATACAATAATTTGAGTTAAAAAGTTAGAGTTAACATGTCATTGAACTATAAAGATATATTATCTAAATAGGTACATCAAAAATTCAAAACATCAATCTTATCTATATTAATTATATTTATTAATATATAAATATATTATATATTATATGAATAAATATCTATGTAATTTTTAGTTTTTACAGATATTAGATGTATATAATGTATAATTAATTATAATGTAAGATAAGAAAACCGTCTATGCCCAGTGAACTTTTATAGCATTTTATAGAAAAAAAATCTTTTTTATTTTATCATAATTCATGAATCATAACTCGATTAGGTCAGAATGCTAGATATATTTAAATAGCATTTAATTCAAATTTAATTATAAATAATTATGTCGAAATTAAACTGAAATAATTAAAAAAAAAGAACAATATTGGAATTTTATTGTACCTAATTATAGAATTATAGATAGATACCTAGTTAAAATAACAAATCAATTTAAAACTATAAACAAAAAAAAGATAATTTAATGGTTAATGAATAATTATATGTAAGTACGTTCTTATGTTTTGAATTTAAAACGTGTTGGAAGTAAAGATATAAATATAGAGATTATAATTATAAAAGAAGACGCACTTCGTTTTTTTTTTTTTAATTTATTAGAGAATATACAATCTATAAATATTTTTATAACGAAAACATTTAGTAGTTAATTATGAAGAGATTTAGGAATGCATGAAAGATGAAATTGGCTTTAAAGACTTATATTAGATAACCCACCCAAGTAACATTCTAAGACTTATCATTAAAAAAACATTTTATTCAACAAAATCTAAAATATTTATAAGAATTTCATTAAATTTAAATACTATCAAAGGAATATAATATTAAATTATTTAATGATAAAAATGTATATTTTTTTATATTATATTAAACAATTTTGAATTATCTTAACTATTTTTTTTTTTTTTTTTTTTTTGTAATAGGAAGTAAAAATCAAAAAATACGATTATATACTTAGTTAAGGATTGATTTTAAAGATAGAAAATAAATTATAAATGCAGTTTGGTTAGCCCGGTTACCTAAAATCATTAAATTTGTGTAATATTCTAATAATTGATATTTTGAGTCAAACATTTAAAAAAAACTTTTAGTTGAAGTTCTTTGCAATATTTAATAAAAAAATATAAATTGAAATCCATGTAAATTATTAACATAACAAGTAAAAAAACATACATACATATATATTTATATAGTTAGAAGTTAGGTTGTATCGTTTTAAAATTATTTATTAATTATTTAATGATGTACAAATAAAAATTTAAAAACATCAATTATTTATAAAACACAACATTCTTTTACATTATATGTATTAAAAAATATTTAATTAGATAGTTTTAATAACTAAAAATATTAAGTAACCAGTCAAGTAAGATAATTATTAATTATTTGTTTGCATTACACATTTGAAAATATGTAGGTAGTAATTATTGAAATAATTTAAAATTTTCACTTAAATAAGTTTTTCATGAGTTACTTTGTTAAACACGTTATTTATAAGTGAATTATATATATAAATTGCTTAATCAAAACCCATACATAATAAGCGTATACAGTTTGGGATCCTAGATCTAAAATAATATTTCAATCCTTAGTGAAGCTTTATATTGGTTTTAAAATAATAACGTTTAGCTTTTTAGCCCCTTTTAGTTCCTCTCATAAATGATAAATTACGTTTATGCTTAATATTCTACTGGAACTCTTACTAAAAATATACACGCATCGTTTATTTATGGTTATCTTATTTATTTTTTTAAGATCGTTGAAGATGTATTTCCAAATCACATCAACAGAATAGATTCCCGAAATAACATGAGAGGAGTGGACAACGTAGCTCTGGACATTCAATACTCCGAGTATAGTTACATGGAACATTTCTTTGATCAAGTACATTATAAAGTTTAAAATATATCTATTGTTGATACGTATATTATAATAATTATATCCAGAGTTCGACATTAGAAAAAAAAATTGTTTAATTTAATCAAAATTTGATTAATGATTATGACGTCGCGTTTTATGGTTTGTGTAATAGAAAGTTAATCAAACCCAATACCCGTTGTGACGATGAGTACTACCTACCTACCTATATTTTTATTATAATATATGTGTATTATAAAGATACCTAGGTGAAATAATAATAGTAAACAGTATATAAGATAACGTTTTGATGATAATGATGCTTCGTCAAATGTTTGATTGTTACTTAAATTTTCTTTGAAACACCTATCATATGAAATATAAACAAATAAAATATGTCGATAATAATACATACGAGTATAAGTATGTAATATATACCTATACTACAATTATTATTTCGTTTGAAACACGAACTATTTTTAAACTGATACAACATAAATTAAATCATAAAACTATATCAATATTATAGATCGAACAGTGTCGGCTGAAAATAAGACAAATCAAAGAGCATGTAGTGTTGATGAGGACATTACACGGAAAGTTACTACTTCTACCCAGGCAAGATGAAAGTATGATAATATTGTATATAATATTTATATAATATTATAATTTATAACAAATAATAATATATAATAAAAGTTGCATCTTCGACAGTCTATGTTTTATATACCTAAATACTAATATTGTCATTATTGAATTTTTTTTATAGATATGAAACGAGATATAGATATAAAAACAGAAAATGTAAAAAAAATGGGGAAACAAGTCAGCACCACATTAAAAGGTTATAAATTTTTACATAATAATGTATGTATAATAATAACAAAATTGTGTTTGATTTGAAGACAACAATGCAACTTTTATATTAATAATTATATGATTGAGTGCAACAACCAACATAAAATTCCACCTTTTTCTAAAAGTGATTCCTCGTAGGATACAGTAATACTGAAACAAATGCTTTATATCTCAGTACAACGGGCACCGTGATTACTAAGATAAATTTTCCACAACATTATATTGGTGATGGATATTATATTGAAGTATTAAGCATTTTTAATTTGAATTCATAATATTTATAAAAAAATTTAGTAAAATCAGATAACTCCAAATTTAATTCTACGTTTAAAATTATTTTCAAGTAAACAATTGAAATTTAAGATATCAAAATACAAAGTATTATAAACTGTTATTTGAGGTTATAAAGTTATAAAGTGGATTTATCAGGTTATTAAATTATGCCCTTAAATGTTAGATAAATATATAGATAGTAGGATATATGTGTATTTATAATAATAATAATAATATACAATATTTGGTTTGAACTTTGTTTTTTCATACATAACATTGATTATTAGTATATACTTCGCACTTCTATTATTAATATCAAACAGTTTCATGAATATTCCATAAAAATGACACGGTAATAATAAACGCTCAATAATGTTTTTTTTATTGCATACGCGTATATTTACTATATATATTTATATATATATTTATGTATTCACATAATATGGACGAGGTAATATCCTTAATAAAAAAAAAAATCGTAAATGGTAATCTGTAGGCTGTCCAGAACGGATTCACGGGCATCAAGGTCTCGAACAACAGTGGACTTCGGAAATGTCATACATTCTGAATATATATATATATACAAGTATAAATACAATTGATAACAAAAAATATTCTTTAACACTGCCAAGGCCCTTCATTGGCGATTCATTAAATGATATACCGGACATCTTGACTTACTAGTTATTATTATTTTAAATAACACATTTATAAATCATACATTTGTGTAAGTAATATATTTTAAAAGAACGTACTTATAGTTATAAGACGAGTATAAATAATTAAATATTGATTTAAATTACATATAAATACATATTAAAACCAAAAGGCGTTGATGATTGTTTTCTTAAATACGAAACCACCAACTATATAGATTTCTACATTTCTAAATAATGTTTGCATAATCATTCGACTAATTTCACTAAAATAAAATTATACTTAATACTAATCATGAAAGTAATTGCTGAATCACTTTGTGACTAAATTTAGAATTAATTGAAACCATTGTTAAAATATCTGAAAATAATATAATCATTTAGTCGCGTGACAGGAAGTAATATAGTGACAATGAAAAAACGTGAAAACCTCACGGGAAATAAAATAATGCGGTATTAGTGGTAGGTACTACAATTTATTATCCAAAACTATATCTTTTATTATTTGATCGGATTAAAATCAGTTACATGTTTAGCATGCGAAAATAATAATACTAAATATATGTTCGAAAGCCATAAATAAAAATAAGATTTAAGTTTTATGTTTTGCTTTGTCAAAATCTATAAGTACCAATCTATGAAATTAAAAGAAAACCGAAAGTGTGTAGTCGAACTCGTTGAAGCGCTTAAAATATTTTATGAAGTTTTCTTTTTAGGTTTAGAAAAACAGATTAAACAGGAAGAAGACGAGTTTTCCGGTGACAACGAACAAGTGAGCGCCGCGTTGCGGATACGAAAAACCCAACATGCCACCACGATACACATGTTAGTTGAAGCGCTAGCCGAGTTTAATGCCGAGCAGATCATCTACAAAGAAAAATGCGAAGAACGCATGCAGAAAGTCGTGTGCATAGGTGAGTAATTACATTTTTTTTCAAATATGGAACATATATATCTTAATGTCTTAATACATAATCCATTGTCGATTTGATTATAATAATATGTCATTATTATATATTTCTTTGCAGCGAAAGCCGAAATATCCAACGATCAGTTCGACGAACTGGTCAGCCAAGGCAACTATTCCGCCGTGTTCAATGGCAACGTAAGAGCTATTTTTGATTTTCACATGTACCTTACGTTTTGAAAAATATAAAAGCTATTTAATTGAGTATGCAGTGCGCATAATATAGTATATTAATATGAATCAACGATTCCAGATAATTGCCGAAACGCTGGAAGCTAGGAAAACGTTGCAGGAAGTCCAAGACAGGCACTTAGAACTAATGAAACTGGAGAAGAGCATCCAGGAGCTCCGGGACATGTTTGTTGAGATGGCGATGCTGGTTGAAAAGCAAGTATGACGATAATATAAATTATAAATATTATAGTTATATACATATACCTCATTACCTTTCCTGTATGTATATAATACAAGAAGTATAATCCAAGTACTGCAGCAATGGCGTAGATATATACGTTAATTTCACTTTAAATCCCCATACTCAATAACTTATAGGTATGTCCGTCTCTGATTATCATAAATTAATTTTCATTATTGCCATCATTTTTCAACTGATTTCAATACACAGTAATATGAACATTTATATCTAGTACATGAATTCAAGAATCATAGACGTGTCAAAACCGCATAACAAAAATATATGATTCATAATGTGTAATACGTATAAACGTATTATTGTTTATTACTATCATTTTAATTTCTATATCTGATTTTCAATATCAACTAGTTGCTGGTAAACGACAAACGTAAGTACCTATACTGCACTGCAATATATTGTAGGTATACGGTTTTTCTTCCTACAGTGTATAAACAAAGACGAAACAAACCCATTTAGGTACATATTTAATATTATATTATATTATATAATTACTGTATCACAATCACGAAATTGAAACGGTTAAATTGTTAACATTTTAATTATTGGTAATTAGTAAATAGTCTTAATTATGTTTTGTTCGTCGCTTACTCAATCTATTTCTCTTTTTGAATACATTTTATTGATAATGAATTATGATTAATAATATTTAATGTTATATATTCTTCTATCTCAATTTAGTATTATTTTAAAACCATTTCAATTCATAATGTTCAAATCTATGTATTAAATAGACGTAATACTGAAATAGGTATTTATTTCCAAGTGCTCATATCTTGTATTCGGTGCTTACGAAATTCGATTAAAATATTAATAAGATATAAATTTCACATAAGTATAAATAAGAATTTTCGAAAATCATTAAAATCTATTCACGTGTAATTTCTTATTGACTCGTGCATTTCATAAGAATTAATGTAAAAAGTAAAAAGTAAAACTGATATAATCACTTTATGATGTGAATATTAATTAATTGAATACCTATACAATACATTAATATACACTAAGTGGATTTTTCTTATTAATAGGCCTAAACATTTTTTTTTGTTTTTCAATTTTATATTTTAACTACATTTTTTGTTACTAATTGCTTGTTTCCAAAAATGTTATCAATAATTAATGTTAAACTTGTTACTATTTTCACAGGGTGACATAATTAATAGTATAGAACAACATGTGTTAAGAGCCGGGGAAGCTGCTGAAAATGCCAAAATTGAAACAAAAAAAGCGGTCATATACACTAGTAAAGCGAGAGTGGTACGAATAATATTATATTGTTTAATTAAGGAAAGAATTTAAATACATTAAAACACGAATGAGTTCCTATAATACAATTGATTTTTAAAGCCGTTTAATTACTTTTGCAGAAAAAAATCGTCTTCATAATGATTTGCATCTGTGTGACCTTATGCATGATAGCGTGGTTGTACTCAAGTTTTTTCGGAAATGATGAAACCACCGAAACTTAACATCTCCAAAATTTTTTTCATTTATTAAATTGTAACTGTAAGGTGAAATTCTGTGATATTTGTGCAACTATATATATTTATATTTATTTATGTATATTACATCAGTACTTATATTGACTAAAATAATTATTAAGTAAATTGAATGTTAATGATTATGTATTTTTAAACTAGGTACCTATACCAAATAAAATAATTTATATTTTAAAACAGTTCATTGTTATAAAAAGATAAATAAATAAACGTTTATTATAATATTACATTATTACCTGGGTACGCAAAGTCCGGAAAGTAATATTATTATTCGAGTGCTTGTCAAAAACTTCAACACACACGATGTGTACCTTGTACGGTATTTTATATTATACATAATATATAATAGCCAAATAATAGGGATATGATTTGTATAAATCTACGTAGTACGTAATAATGATAATTTAAATGTATAACCTCTTTACTTCTGTAGTTATATCTACGGGTATAATTTATAAAAACATAGATGATAAATACACATTGAGTATAGTATGAGATTATAGTCAGGACATAAATCATAGAACCCACCAAAATGTCAACTCAAATATCTCATAAAATAAACAAAACCCCGGTACTGTGATTCGATTGATTCGAATTTTATACTATATCCAAAAAGATCTTTTCCAACAGTACAAAACGTTGCCAAGATATTTACAAGCGCTTACATTCCAATCTTTGCTATTCAACTATTACAACCCCTTGATTTAAGAATTTTTCATACCCACTATTCCAGATGACCTTAAGTCCTTAAAAGATGTCATGGTTTCGTGACCTACTTGATCGACCAACTCCTAATATTACTCCACGTCATGAAGTTTCAACAAAGGATAGTTCCTTTATCTATTCCTCAGATCCCAGTCTTGAATATGTAATAAATTTATTTTGTGTTATAATCTCTAACACCAATTTTGCATAAAAAGTGTAAAAAGATACTTACAGATTGAATATTTTTAAATAAAAAAGCATACTATAGACAACGTTTACACCATTACGCAGTTTAAATGGTACTATACAAGAATTATAGATACGATTAGTTATAGCCTGACGATCCTAAGTATAAACAGTTTATACAGTATTATACATGGCGTAGCGAGAGTGGGGCTCAATTGAAATTCTATTTTTTATACCAAACGTGTAAGTTTAACTATAAAATGGAAAAAAACAAGCAAAAAAAAAGTCATCAGATAACCTAACCAACCTAAGCGCCCCCTTCCGTGCTTCATACTAATTTTTTTTTCTTATACCAAACGTATAAGTTTTACTATAAAATCGAAATGCAAAAAAAAGTTATCAACTGCCCCCCTCCCCGATTAAAATCCTAGCTACGCCCATATATACTACTTATATACTTATATGCTTAATTATTTAGATAATATATTCACATTTATAGTATATTATCGTGACCAGAAGAGTCGAAAGTATGCTTTATCTATACTATAGCATACAATTGAATGGTTTGTTGGTTATTTGATAATACAAATTACAAATAAATGTTTCTATTTAATTTTTTCTTCATAAAATGTGTTTTAGCTTTCAGATTTATTAAAAACTTATTATTATTAAACTCTTATTAAATTCTGCTGGCGTTTAGGTTCTCTGTAGTCTATAATCTATATCTAGATATAAAGTATAATTCATAATAATATCTAATACATTATGATATGTATAATGTATTAATGTACAGAATCCTGTTTACACATACTATATATGGTACTAAACCAATGGTGTAATTGTAGGGTGTCCTCAAATGGAGGCAAATATCTACTCCACATTTGGTACCGACTAAGTACAGCTAGAATAATGGCCCAAAAATCATAATCGTAAATTATTGTTATTTTTAAGGAACAAATAACTTTGTAGCAAAGAATATTATAAAATCGACACTTTAACAGTTCATTAATATACCTAAATTTGTTACGATTACGTCATCATCATTCATGTAGATATCTTTTAAGAGCTTAATTGCTTACTTTTTAATTGTTGCTATTATAATTACATTATAATAATTGTATATTGTTATGTATTATATAATATTATAAATTATAATTTTATAACTATATAGCTATTAATATTATCTGACCTATATTATTTCTTTTAATATCTTTATTGATATATTTTTCTTCCCGTTTTTACATCAAATCTAAATAGATAGTATTACATTTTTAATTTATTTCATAAGTAAATGCATAGATTTAAAAATAACTTATTTCATATAAGTACATAATTATATTATAATATAAATGGTGAAATCAAAAAATCTATCTATTTTATCATTAGTATTCAAATGAGTGTTTCTTTTTTTTTTTAACAAACATTGTAGATAGCATAACTTTAAAATTATTAGATTTTTTATATAACTAATAATTAAGCCGACTATCGAGTACCTATATACTGGGTAAAGGTTTATAAATTTAATATCCGTGTAAATGACGATAATGCAGTACTTATTGATGGTTATAATTTTATAAGTAATAATTTTTGATTAGGTACTGCACGTTAAATTGAAACATCACATGATATTAATTAATAATTATTATCAAGTATACTTAATATTATCATTGTTAAAACTGAGAACTTATTGCAATAGTACTTTTAAGTTAGTAGTCATTAGCTATAATAATTAATATTGTCGAATGTCAAAAACAAAGCTTAGTATATAAAAAAAAGTGTAAAGTCATTTCTAAAAATATTATAGCCACACTGACACTGCAACAATCTTTTGATTATTTGATTTATTTATAGAATTCTTAATAACTAATAAAAGAAAGAAATTGTAAGAACGTAACTGTTTGAATTTTGTGGTAAATATTAGATACTTATATTAAATTGGTAAATCACCTAATGGCTGTTGCTATGTATACATAAAAAAGTTAGAATAGCAAATAAATCTGACAGGAATATTTACTATAATTATTTATAGAAAATATAAGCAAATATAAACTACATTGTATTATTTATTTTATAAAAAATATAATTATTTGTGTTATTTATTGTTATTACGCACCTATTTTTATTTACATGAACTCAGTATCATTCTTAATATTTTTAAAAATCAATTATTATTATATTGGATTTTATAGATACCATTTTAATTGTAGTTATAAACTAAAATAGTTGAAATAATGAAAATAATTTTCTTAATTGTTGACATCATGGTACTAGCTAGTAGTCAGCTAGTAGAGCTAACTATTTTTTATTAAATTAGTATATGCTGTAAACTAATATACCTTTTAAAGTCAAGCACCCTTTTAGTGGCGTCAATATCAAAATTTGAGCATTCGAGTAAAGAAGTCCTCCAAATGTTTATCCCCCCAAATAAATTTTTCACTTTTGATAGATAATGTTATCATAAGTATTTGAATTTAGTGTTAGCGCATGAATTAGTTAAAAACAAGTTTAAAACTTTTTTTCAAACGTAGATTTTAATTATTTCTAGTATAATAAAGTTTTCTAATTTATAATTTAATGCATTTTTTACGGTAATATTTATTTTATAGATACCGTCACAAATCTCGATGTCACATTGATTTTCATAAATACATAACATTATAATACGAATCAGAAAACACATGCGAGCCGTGTGTAAGACGGGAGTAGGCAATAAAACTAACACACATGGAAAATTATAGTTTAAAAAAAGTAATCTATAAATAAATTCACGTACATGTACCACGTAGTCAAAATTAAGGATATTATATGATTAGTTTCTTTCCGACCTTAAAGTTACGATACATTGATACGATACATGTTACTGTGAATTTCTGTAGTTGGTCAACAATATTATATTTGTATTATTAATTTAAACTATGATTATTTTACCTTTCAAAAAATATTGTTTAAAAAAATAAATAAAAACTACTTATTGCAATATGACAAATTCTCTCTCTTATTATATAAAATGTCAATATTTTAATCACACTTATTTATAGTACGCTTTGTTCTGTATTTGCATCGTGTTACACAATTCGTGTACCTATATCAGCTATACCTTTGCCTAATAGTTGTTGTATTTGATGCAAAAGCTTTCATTCGAGAAATTTGTAAATCCCTTAGTACTCACATCAGAAATTAATATTAAATTTTCTTTACACACTGAAGGCGAAAACTCATTTCTTGTGTATAATTGATTTATAACACGATTTTTTATAGGTAGCAAATTTATAAAAATCATAATCTTAAATCTATTATATTTAATACTACTGTTAGATATTTTGGAAATTAATTTTACTATTGTAAGTAGTAATCACTAGTCAGTAGATATAGTAATACTCTTACTAGTCTTACTTTAACTCTACTTCCAAAGAATATAAGTCAGTATAGTAGTTATTCAGTTGTTAGTAGTTGTCAAATGTGGAACACTCTAAAAAATTATCAGTTGTTTCTTTTTAAATAACAATCTACCACCCAGCGTTCAAATTTAAAATGTAATAGGTGATCTTTAAAGAAATTAATTAGTTTATAAATTGGACTTAAATACTTAATTAATACTCTTTAGCTGTACGAACCCGGAAAAATAAGTATTTGAAATGTATGAATATTTCATGGAGTAAACGACACGACACGACATGTGTATATGAGCAATTATTCCACTATCCATTCACCAAATAATATTTAAGATCAAAGACGTTACAATTGTCTACGAGAAATTTGAGGTTATGTATACCATATCATTCTCGAGTTCTTAATTTTCTTTAATATATTTACTTCCCTAAATTTTTTTTAGATTTCTTTCGATCTAGAATTTTTGAATTGTGAATTCAGAAACTTACAAAATTCAAAATGCAGAACGACGCCGGAGAATTCGTTGACCTGTACTGCCCAAGGAAATGGTGAGCATTTTTCGGATGATGACAAATTTGTTTTTAATTTTGACATTTAAAATCTCTCGAGCCACATGGCATTTTACAGTATTCGTGGTTTATTGACATTTTATTATTTTTTAATAGCTCTGCCAGCAACCGTATCATTCCTGCTAAAGATCACGCTTCTATTCAGATCAATTTAGCCGAAATCGACTCGTCCACTGGTCGCATAACAGGAAATCATAAAATCTTGACCATTAGTGGAGCTATTCGTCGTATGGTTAGTATATTAAATAATATATTTAATTCATTTTTTTTCACAAGTTTAGGTATTATATATGTTAACTAGTACATTTATCACACAATTTATTGAGCTGCTTAGTTCAGAAATTTTAATCTTTGGCACAAAATTTAACACTTTATCAGGGTTGTATTGCTAACTTAATGTGTGGTTAGTTTGCACTAGTGTCAAAGAAATTTAATTAATATATTCTATTGAATATATTTTCAAACCTAAGAATTTAAGACTTTACCTTTTAATCAGTTGATAATAGTTTATTAAATATAATCAGGAATTTATCATTGAAGTAATTTACTAAAAGCAAAACTAAAGCTTAATACACTTAATATTACTGTCATATTGACCAGTACTTAATTATCACTTATATAAAACTAGATTTTATTAAATTACTATTTGATTATTTTTTCATTAGGTTTTGTAAATATGATTTTTGATAATGATTAATGATTTATATTGAGCCATATTTGAAAAATGTTACAAATTAAGAAAAAAAATGTATTATTATATTATCTTTATATATTTATTTTGTTCATCAGTTATATTATGAATGTATATTTTGTGCTTCTTACATTTTAATTTTATCTTATAGTTTATTGTATTGATGTATATTTGTGTCATTTGGTTCATTTGCTTACATTTATTTTTGTCGATTCCCTATATTTTTTTCAATTAGTTTTAATTTTGCCTATGTTAAGTAATAATAAACTTGTTTTGTTTGTTAGTATCACTTATATATATTACTAAATATGGGTCAAGTGTACTATAGTTTTTTTTTTTATGGAACATTTTTACAAACCTTATGTAATGAAAAAAAAATTAACTTACGACAATAAATATGCATAAAAATTAAAAAGTAACAGTTAAGCAGATTTCAATTATACTAAGATATTCTATTTGCAGTATATTTTTAAGTACATACCTAATTTAGTTATAAACAAAATGCATATTTCATACTAATTCATACATTTATTTTTTTAGGGAGAGTCAGATGACTGCATAACAAGGTTAGCAAAAGAACACGGGATTGTAGCTAAGTAAGTAAATACTCTTTAGCAAATCTGATAACAAACTAACTGAATTATTTGTTGTTTTTTTTTTTTTCAGGAATTTCTAGGATAACTAATGTTATAAATTTTATTCTATTTCAAAATGTGAATAAACAAAAAAAAAAAAAAAAAAACTGTGTTTTTTATTACTTGGTATTTAATATAATACTGTACTGTGTTTAATGAATTAATAATGATCCTTTAATTATTAAGTGTAATAATTTATAAATTTATTAGCTCTATGCATTAAAATTAAAACATTATTATTTCAAAAATTTTAACCGAACCAAAGTTTGTGAGTGATAAAGAATAAGACTAAAACATTGCAAATTGGTTAAAAATGGTCATTAGTTTGCTGTTAAATAACTTTACAAGAGTTAATCTTAGGGAAATAAACTATTTTTACATTATAAAAGTTGAAAAAAAAAGAAAACAACTTTTTATAATTTTGAGTATCGAATAATAAATCTTAAGATGATGTTATAACATTTACCCGTGTGTGTTGTTTTTAGTCTTGCTAACATTATACCAATTTTGTGTTTAGCAAAACCATTTTATGTTGTTAACTTTAATATTGGAGACAATTTACCTTTTATTAAACTTAAAAGTAAGTTACATTATGTAGGAAATATATGCTCTTATTGATATTATTTTAAAATAAGGTTCAACTATGTTTTACATTATTTTTTTTATGTTCACAACTCGCATTATAAAATTATACCAATGAAAGCATATAACATGTCCTAGATTATTAATCTTATAGTATTTCTGTATTAATTTTTTTTAATTATTGCTTTATAATTTAATGTTAATTTTTTATAGAAAAAAAAGTATAATTTTATCTATGTATGACTTTATAATCAGTACAATTTGTGGTACCTGTTTGCAGACATACAGCGTTTTTTATCTAGTAACTTTAAACATAGATGATAAATCATGTGTACCAAATAGTATAAAGGGAGCATAAACTAAGATATATGTATTATCTTATTTTGTGAAATTAAGTAACTACTTTGCTCAAACCAGTTAAGATTTTTATTAATAGTTGACTAATAAAAATGCAGTTTTTTAAAGATATTCTATTGAAATAAGTTTTTCAATATTCAAACATATTTAAGTACTGCCACATTAATCTACACTTGGTAGTGAGAGTTTATTATAGTATTATAGACATTTTAGAACTTCTAAAGTTCAAATTTGTTTATGTTAATGTACATATAAAAGACTAGGTATAATCCACTTAATATTTCATTACAAAATATATCATACATTATTATAGTACAATAATTGTATGGCATTCTTGTGAACTTTATTTTACTTTTTATACTATTTTATTGGGTATATTTATTTTTTTTTCATTATATTTTTTCCAGGTATGTGTAAGTCAACCTCAATTTCAAAGTTTATTATCTAACTTGCCAATATACTAAGCTTTGCCTGTGTACAGTTTTGAAACAAATTTTAATTGTTTAATCAATTTATTTATAAACATTTTTAATTATTTTTTACGTCTTGAGTTTGTAATTTGCATAGAATTTTATTACATTTGAAAATATACATAGCTTGGTTCTAGATCGATGTTTTATACAAAATCTTGTTTTACCTGTGAATAATTATAATATTAAATAATTTTTTATTTTATTTTCTACTAAATATAATTATAATCAATTTAAGTTTACACTTCTTATATTCTAATTATTTAACTGAATTTATAAGCTTAAAAAAAATTTCAATTAAAAACAAATATGACTAATTAAATAAAAATAATATGTAGGTATGAAAATACTTGGATGAATTCAGTGGCGTATCCAGGATTTTTTTTAGGGGGGGGGGCACACACTGTCTAAATTTTTACCATATATACTACCTACTACCAATAACAAAAAAAATAAAATAAACCAAATATTTAATGTTTATATTTTCAGTCAGTCATAAAGTTAAAAACGGGTTAATCCCAACAAAATTATAAGTGTATGTATGCATGTGTAGTATGCGTTCATGCATACAAATAAATTTAAATCTTTAAAACAAAATCTAGTAAATAAGGCCAACGAGGGGGGCTATGGCCCCCGTGCCTCCCCCCCTGGATACGCCACTGGATGAATTAATACATATTATTTATAATGGCAATTTATATTAATATTATATTAGTAAAGCAGTTTACTGATTAACTAGTAATAATTAAGTATCATGATTAAAATAATAATATTAGGTATTTTTTATTATTATTGACGAATACGTTTACTTATTAATTATAATTTCCATAGGGATACCTACAAAACAATAAGTGCAAGTTATGTTATAGGTAGGTAGTTAATAGATGTATTGGTTTGATATCTAGGAACTATAATTCAGTGATTTCACTTCGTATTTTTCTTTTTACATCAAGTGTATTTTAGTAAATCTCTTAGAAAGTTAAGTTTTAGCTTTTTAGGTGTGAAGAGTTATTTAGGTAGGGTAGTGATTGCAGGTTGGAGATTGGTGAATTAGGGTGGTTGTTATGGCTGTAAGGAGTTTTTTGTTATTGAAGGTAATTAAGAAAAAGGAAGTATTTATATTTTTAAGTTAGGTATTATATTGAGAGTTATTGCTAATATATCTTTTTACTAATCTGAAATAATGTTGATGTCAAAAATCCGAATTTATGATATCCGAATCCGAAATTTCTAATAATGTAAAATTTATGTCAAACTATTATTTTTAAATTTTAAGTTTTACTGATTTAAATATAACACAGTCTAAACCTATACATTAAATATAAAATATTTAAATTTTAATAAGTAAGCAACAAGTTTAAAATATTCAAATTATTCGGATTTGGATATCCGGATTATTCGAGTAGTATTGAATGCGGACGTTAGTGACACCACTATGAGACAATGCATAAATTTATCAATTATCGGGATTAAAGGATATTTATAAAAAGTTCGGTCTACATGGTATAAGTGTATAACTTTTAATAGAGTTTAATGTAAAGATTTTGCAAATAAATTCGGTTACGTATGAATTTATTCTCAAAAGTTGGAATCAGTTTTGGAACTTTGATAGATGATCTTGTTCATTAATATACTTGTATACTGAAGAACTGAAGATTAGTTAGTGAGGTACTGAGGTTAAAAAAAATTGTAGCAGTCATTAACGAATATAGCACGATAAATATCAGACAAGCATGGATGTAATTATTTTGATTTAACAATATTTTATATTATACGGATTAACATACACCATAATATAAAAATTACAATATTGGATAAAGAATATTTTACATTATTAGTGGTAATATCAGTGAACTCATCATTAAGTGTCATTTAAAGTAAGTTTTTTTTATTAAACATCAATGATTTCTAAAATTTCTAGTTTCAAATACGGTTGTTAATTGTTATTACTTAATAGGTTGTAGATAATATATACATTAGTTTATACTGTTTATAGCCATACATATGCAATAGAACGTCAGTTCACGATTGTCAGAACACATCAATATTTTTTTTACCATAATTAACTTATAAGTAACATGAACTAAGATAAAATAATATTACATATTAATATTAATTCGAACTTTCAAAGATAGAAGGATTTAGCCTAAGCGTATAATGCATTTCTTTCTCGGCGGCACTGTGAAATAACCGTTATCAGTGTGTGATAATAGTAGCCCAACCTTTGAAACAGCTGCGAACCCCCTGTGACCAGTACAATATTCTGTTTATTTTGTTTTCGCGCTCCCGTTTGTTATTTTTTGCACTCTTGCAGTATCGCACCTCTCTTCCACCTTCCGACCGCTAATAATCTACTGATTACTGATCTGTGAACGGCCCCCCAGAGTTGGAAAGTCACCAACAGCATTGACTATCGGCTCTCGGGAAGTGATTCATTAGTATTTAGCCGTCGTCAATCGTTTGCGTCTGATTCAAATCCGTGACGATTATCATCATCGGTCGTTTTTGTTGTTCGCGAAAGTATTCGTTTTTCTTTTGTTTCACCGCCTACCATGTCGTTGTGCTCTTGTTTTATAACTTAAACCATGCAAAGTAGTCCGTCGTTGGGGTCCGAAATTACCATTTGAGTCATTCCTTATCGAACCTCGAGGATACGACCGTTCATGTGAGTACTTAACAAAAGACTTGAATTTAGAGTGTGATAGGAAGAGCCGATTCATGGTGATAGTCTTTAAAAGGTGATATAACTCGAATGAGTAATTCATTTTTCTTCTGATTCGTGTTTATTGTTTTTATTTTTATTTTACTAATTTTGTTTTCAATTTGATGGCAACTTAATAAGTCCGACTGTTAATTGTTTACAAAGTAATTACACATACAAATTTTATTGATTGATTAAAATTGTTGTGGTATCCGAGTGTAGCCAAACTAGTTGTCCAAATGTTAAATTAATCAAAATACCTATGATTTAATACTTAACCTCATTATAATTTTATAGGTAGAGAAACCGGTTTTTACTCATAAAAAGTTAACATGATATAAACTTATAGGTAATTACCATTGGTGATATAATGATAACTTATAAATATATTTATATTTGTGTAAAAAATAAATCAATATAGATACTAAAATTGTATATAAATTATTTATATTATTAAATGATATATAGTCGTATATAGTTATAAAATAATGACACTGCTGATTAAATTAACTTAGATTCAATATTATATTAAATTACAAATATTAATTAGGTCTAAACAAAAATTAAATATCAAAGGATAGTGATATCATAATACTGTTTAATGTCTTCATGCTATTAAAATTAATGATTGCAGTTAGTGTGTACTGTGTAGAGAGAAATGTATACAATAAAAGTTCTTATAGTGTTGCTAATTAAAAATTGATATATTTTACTCATATTTTCTTTATTACTAGATTTTTTTAGTGCTTCACAAGCTGTTACAGCTTTTTGCACACTTCTATAAAACTTTCCCATCCATTTTGGTCTATTTTAATGTCCTATAACTCTTACTTTTTGATATCTAAAATGTCCTTCATTGTATCTAACCACCCCTGGCGAGCTCTTCCCCTTGGTCGCTTTTTTTTTATTTTCTTATAAAGACATTTCGTATATGATTTTCAGGAACTTGCCAA